CACGCGGTGTTTGGCGGATGCACGCGGTGTTTGGCGGATGCACGCGGTTTTTGCCGGATTCACGCGGTGTTTGGCGGATGCACGCGGTGTTTGGCGGATGCACGCGGTGTTTGGCGGATGCACGCGGTTTTTGCCGGATGCACGCGGTGTTCGGCGGTGTTTGCCGGATGCACGCGGTGTTTGCCGGATGCACGCGGTGTTTGGCGGATGCACGCAGTGTTTGGTGGTGTTTGGCGGATGCACGCGGTGTTCGGCGGTGTTTGACGGATGCACGTGGTGTTTGGCGGTGTTTGCCGGATGCACGCGGTGTTTGGCAGATGCACGCAGTGTTTGGTGGTGTTTGGCGGATGCACGCGGTGTTCGGCGGTGTTTGACGGATGCACGTGGTGTTTGGCGGTGTTTTCGGATGCACGCGGTGTTTGGCAGATGCACGCGGTGTTTGCCGGATGCACACGGTGTTTGGTGGTGTTTGGCGGATGCACGCGGTGTTTGGCAGATGCACGCAGTGTTTGGTGGTGTTTGGCGGATGCACGCAGTGTTTGGTGGTGTTTGGCGGATGCACGCGGTGTTCGGCGGTGTTTGGCGGATGCACGTGGTGTTTGGCGGTGATTTCGGATGCACGCGGTGTTTGGCAGATGCACGCGGTGTTTGGCGGATGCACGCGGTGTTCGGCGGTGTTTGCCGGATGCACGCGGTGTTTGGTGGTGTTTGGCGGATGCACGCGGTGTTTGCCGGATGCACGCGGTGTTTGGTGGTGTTTGGCGGATGCACGCGGTGTTTGGCGGATGCACGCAGTGTTTGGTGGTGTTTGGCGGATGCACGCGGTGTTTGGCAGATGCACGCAGTGTTTGGTGGTGTTTGGCGGATGCACGCAGTGTTTGGTGGTGTTTGGCGGATGCACGCGGTGTTCGGCGGTGTTTTCGGATGCACGCGGTGTTTGGCAGATGCACGCGGTGTTTGGCGGATGCACGCGGTGTTCGGCGGTGTTTGCCGGATGCACGCGGTGTTTGGTGGTGTTTGGCGGATGCACGCGGTGTTTGGCGGATGCACGCGGTGTTTGCCGGATGCACGCGGTGTTTGGTGGTGTTTGGCGGATGCACGCGGTGTTTGGCGGATGCACGCGGTGTTTGGCGGATGCACGCGGTGTTTGGCGGATGCACGCGGTGTTCGGCGGTGTTTGCCGGATGCACGCGGTGTTCGGCGGTGTTTGGCGGATGCACGTGGTGTTTGGCGGTGTTTTCGGATGCACGCGGTGTTTGGCGGATGCACGCGGTGTTTGGCGGATGCACGCGGTGTTTGGTGGTCTTTGGCGGATGCACGCGGTGTTTGGCGGATGCACGCGGTGTTTGGCGGATGCACGCGGTGTTTGGTGGTCTTTGGCGGATGCACGCGGTCTTTGGCGGATGCACGCGGTGTTTGGCGGATGCACGCAGTGTTTGGTGGTGTTTGGCGGATGCACGCGGTGTTCGGCGGTGTTTGACGGATGCACCCGGTGTTTGGCGGATGCACGCGGTGTTTGGGGGATGCAAGCGGTGTTTGGCGGATGCACGCGGTGTTTGGCGGATGCACGCGGTGTTTGGCGGATGCACGCGGTGTTTGGCGGATGCACGCGGTGTTTGCCGGTCTTTGGCGGATGCACGCGGTGTTTGGGGGATGCAAGCGGTGTTTGACGGATGCACCCGGTGTTTGGCGGATGCACGCGGTGTTTGGCGGATGCACGCGGTGTTTGGCGGATGCACGCGGTGTTTGCCGGTCTTTGGCGGATGCACGCGGTATTTGGCGGATGCACGCGGTGTTTGGCGGATGCACGCGGTGTTTGGCGGATGCACACGGTGTTTGGCGGATGCACGCGGTGTTTGGGGGATGCAAGCGGTGTTTGGCGGATGCACGCGGTGTTTGGCGGATGCACGCGGTGTTTGGCGGATGCACGCGGTGTTTGGCGGATGCACACGGTGTTTGGCGGATGCACTCGGTCTTTGGCGGTGTTTGGCGGATGCACGGGGTGTTTGGCGGTGTTTGGCGGATGCACACGGTGTTTGTCGAATGCACTCGGTCTTTGGCGGTGTTTGGCGGATGCACGGGGTGTTTGGCGGATGCACGCAGCGCTTGGTGGTGTTTGGCGGATGCACGCGGTGTTTGGCGGATGGACGCAGTGTTTGGGTGGTGTTTGGCGGATGCACGCGGTGTTTGGCAGATGCACGCGGTGTTTGGCGGATGCACGCGGTGTTTGGCGGATGCACGCGGTGTTTGGCGGTGTTTGGCGGATGCACGCGGTGTTTGGCGGATGCACGCAGTGTTTGGCGGATGCACGCAGTGTTTGGCGGATGCACGCCGTGTTCGGCGGATGCACGCGGTGTTCGGCGGTGTTTGCGGGATGCACACGGTGTTTGGCGGATGCACGCAGTGTTTGGCGGATGCACGCGGTGTTCGGCGGTGTTTGCGGGATGCGCGCGGTGTTTGCCGGATGCACACGGTGTTTGGCGGATGCACGTGGTGTTTGGCAGTGTTTGGCGGATGCACGCGGTGTTTGGCGGATGCACGCGGTGTTTGGCGGTGTTTGGCGGATGCACGCGGTGTTTGGCGGATGCACGCGGTGTTCGGTGGTGTTTGGCGGATGCACGCAGTGTTTGGCGGATGCACGCGGTGTTCGGCGGTGTTTGCGGGATGCGCGCGGTGTTTGGCGGTGTTTGGCGGATGCACACGGTGTTCGGCGGTGTTTGGCGGATGCACGCGGTGTTTGGCGGTGTTTGGCGGATGCACGCGGTGTTTGGCGGATGCACGCGGTGTTCGGTGGTGTTTGGCGGATGCACGCAGTGTTTGGCGGATGCACGCGGTGTTTGGCGGATGCACGCGGTGTTCGGTGGTGTTTGGCGGATGCACGCAGTGTTTGGCGGATGCACGCGGTGTTCGGCGGTGTTTGCGGGATGCGCGGTGTTTGGCGGATGCACACGGTGTTCGGCGGTGTTTGGCGGATGCACGTGGTGTTTGGCAGATGCACGCAGTGTTTGGTGGTGTTTGGCGGATGCACGCGGTGTTCGGCGGTGTTTGACGGATGCACGTGGTGTTTGGCGGTGTTTTCGGATGCACGCGGTGTTTGGCAGATGCACGCGGTGTTTGCCGGATGCACACGGTGTTTGGTGGTGTTTGGCGGATGCACGCGGTGTTTGGCAGATGCACGCAGTGTTTGGTGGTGTTTGGCGGATGCACGCAGTGTTTGGTGGTGTTTGGCGGATGCACGCGGTGTTCGGCGGTGTTTGGCGGATGCACGTGGTGTTTGGCGGTGATTTCGGATGCACGCGGTGTTTGGCAGATGCACGCGGTGTTTGGCGGATGCACGCGGTGTTCGGCGGTGTTTGCCGGATGCACGCGGTGTTTGGTGGTGTTTGGCGGATGCACGCGGTGTTTGCCGGATGCACGCGGTGTTTGGTGGTGTTTGGCGGATGCACGCGGTGTTTGGCGGATGCACGCAGTGTTTGGTGGTGTTTGGCGGATGCACGCGGTGTTTGGCAGATGCACGCAGTGTTTGGTGGTGTTTGGCGGATGCACGCAGTGTTTGGTGGTGTTTGGCGGATGCACGCGGTGTTCGGCGGTGTTTGGCGGATGCACGTGGTGTTTGGCGGTGTTTTCGGATGCACGCGGTGTTTGGTGGTGTTTGGCAGATGCACGCGGTGTTTGGCGGATGCACGCGGTGTTCGGCGGTGTTTGCCGGATGCACGCGGTGTTTGGTGATGTTTGGCGGATGCACGCGGTGTTTGGCGGATGCACGCGGTGTTTGCCGGATGCACGCGGTGTTTGGTGGTGTTTGGCGGATGCACGCGGTGTTTGGCGGATGCACGCGGTGTTTGGCGGATGCACGCGGTGTTTGGCGGATGCACGCGGTGTTTGGCGGATGCACGCGGTGTTCGGTGGTGTTTGGCGGATGCACGCAGTGTTTGGCGGATGCACGCGGTGTTCGGCGGTGTTTGCGGGATGCGCGGTGTTTGGCGGATGCACACGGTGTTCGGCGGTGTTTGGCGGATGCACGCGGTGTTTGGCGGTGTTTGGCGGATGCACGCGGTGTTTGGCGGATGCACGCGGTGTTCGGTGGTGTTTGGCGGATGCACGCAGTGTTCGGCGGTGTTTGCGGGATGCGCGGTGTTTGGCGGATGCACACGGTGTTCGGCGGTGTTTGGCGGATGCACGCGGTGTTTGGCGGATGCACGCGGTGTTCGGCGGTGTTTGCCGGATGCACGCAGTGTTCTGTGATTTTAACAGTAAAAGATGCTACAGTGAAAAACTGTTAATCGGTTAACAGAAAGTTTCTGTACTATAGGCTATACGGTGAATAACTGTGATAAATCTAACCGTACATTTAATGTAATTTTACAGTCAAATACATTACATTTACACGTCAAGTTTTTGGAAGTGAAAAAGAACAAGTCATTGTATAATTTACAGTGAAAAAAATTTAAATTGACATTCCCACAATTCTCTTCACATTTGATGTATTTTTGTTGAAATAAGTGTTTCTTCAAAGTTTTTCTGATCAGTTATGTGCATTAGGGTTTTATGTTACATTTAATGTTGTTAAATTAATGTTTATTGCATTTTTTAAATGCCGTGTGTTACCATGATGGTGTTTAGTGTGTGTGTGAATGACACTGTGCAGCTTCTATATATTACAAATTAACCTTATTATGGAAAAGCTGGTGTGATGAGCTGTGATTGACCATGTGACTCATCTCCACTGTGATTGGTGGATATCAGTGCATTACAATGGTACAAAACAGATATTAGTATTTCAATAAATCGGTAAATTAACATTATATTAGATAATGGAATGTTTTTTTTCTGTAAATTTAACTTAAGTCTGTAAAACCTAAAATGTTACAAGCGCATTTCTTACGGTAAATTTCTGGCAACCACAGCTGCCAGTTTTTTACCGTAAATTGAACAGGATTTTTTTACATTGAACTACCCAGTGCGAAAGCCCTGATAGAGTGGCATGAAAGTGCTGGTACCTGCGTGGCCTGACTGTAGGGCCCGATGCTGGCCGGGGCCCAGTGAGAACGGCTCTGGACGTGAAGTGTGTGTCTCTGAGGAAACCTGTCGTTCTCGCTCGCCACCGTCCAATCGTGAAGCAGAACGTCCATCTGAAGATGCTGACCGACCGGGAGAGACGCCTGGACACACACCCTGATGAGACAACACACACTGACAGCTTGTAACGGAACTTAACAAACGAGACCTTTCCAGACTTGCTATGTTGTCTATGAATCTATGAAAGCCTGATGCAATTTGGACCTTCGACCCGTTGGACCCCATTGAAGTCACTATATGGAGAAAATCCTGGAATGTTTTCCTAATAACCTTCATTTCTTTTCGACAGCAGAAATAAAGACATGAACATCTTGAATGACGAGGGAGAGAGTAAATTATCATTACATTTTAATTCTGAAGTGAACTACTCCTTTAATTGGACTGTATGTAGAGTTGAGAAACTGTGTTATAGCGACACTGGTGGCCGTTAGCTGAACTGCAGCAGAACTCGTGAGACTATAGAAACTGTTATATATATATATCAGTGATGCGCGGGTCAATGTATAAACAACCCGCACCCGACCGACGTTTTCAACTAACCCGCCCGCAACTCGGACCGCAAAAAAAAGAAAAGAAAATATTGTACCCAACCCGCTTCCCGACCCGCATTTTTTAAAAGTAGTAAATGCTCATCGTAGCGTCATTGGGCCATTAGACGTGTAACACACATGTGTAAATAGCATCGCAAGTAGTAGGCTAATTGTTTATTAATGAAGTTGAAGTTGCTGACTCGCGATCTTCGCAGTAGTGAATGCGCCAGAGAGAAATGCACATTTCATACAGATAAGCAGAGAGCAGTCCGTTTTCTTTAGTTTTGAATTGTTCTGTTTACAAGTAGACATTTCAATATAGATATATTTTTCAGGTCTGTGAAGTAGGCTACCTTATACGCTGAGTTTCGGTTAATTTATGAGACTCGCTCCAGTTTACGCGCCGGCGCCTCCGTGTCGTGATTATCTTGTCTGCTATACTTACTTCTTATTTATTAAATCCAGGCAATTGGTTGATGAAACATTGATTAAAATAAGATACAATTAGTACAAATCGAAATTCACTTTAAAGAAAGGCTTTGTGTCTTCTGTATGAGGTCTCTGTGAAAGTTTTAAAACAGTCTTTTAGTGCCGCTTCAGAGCGGTCGCGTCCTTACATTGTTTTTTCCTCATAAATGCGAACGCGAAAAATAAAATAAAATGAATATTTTATGTTCTGTGGAGAGCCAACCCTTCTTCATCCGGTGGGTAGTATTACTTTTGACTAGTGTAATTCAGTGTAATTCACAAAATTAAAAAAAAAAAAAAGGTTGCCTCCAAAAAGTTAAATATTTGTTTTGTCACGCATGAATGCGTGTGTAGCCGATTTCCCTCATATAAATATAAAACGCATGTGTAGACTGATATGTTTCTAATGTCTGGACTCTAATGTCTGGACTAATGAACAGACGTTTCAATATATTGGTAGCCTATTAAATGCATTTTCTGAGATTTTATAGGCCTATTTCAAGTTTTGACTGCAAATGTCACGTCCATAACGCTGGAATTCTCCAATTTTAAATAATCTATCCTCAACTAGTTTTGTTGTGTTGGTCTACGTATTTTATAATGTTAACTTCAAAATTCAAATAATACTAATATAATTTAAAGATGTGGTAGCATTGGATCTGGACGGGAAGGATAACTCTTGGAGTTGGAAGGGGTGTGTCGCGATTCTTTAGGTTCGTGGATCTGAGTGTCGTGATTTCGGTTTCATATCGCATATCGTTACAGCTACATATCTTTCCTCTCTCCGCCTCCATCTCTCCCTGTAGAGCTCGTGCGTCATCTTCGTGCCAGTTATTCAGCCAATAAAGTGTAGGCCTATGTATTTCATAGAAAATTGTGTCTAGTAGCTACTAAATACATTACAAAGGTTTAATTTACATCTTTATTTCAAACGATCCGACCGACCGCGACCCGAATATCATTAAAAATATTTTTGGATGACTCGTAACCGCGGGTGACCGCAGGCACCCGCTCATTTTGGATCAACCCGCGCATCACTGATATATATTTATAAATTATTTTTCATTTTAATTCATTCAGGATTCACAAGGTCTTGGAAACCTGAATATATGAGAACGTGTGATTTCTAGACCTGGTAAAGTCATGATAAATAATAAATGTATGTAAATCTATGGGTATTTTTATTTTTATAATGAATATATATTTTTCTAGTTATTCCAAGCACTGGAATATTTTACCAGGTATAAATTGTGAGTAAAAAAAATAAAATAAAAAAAAGATTCACTAACACTACTTGAAACCTTTATGCATCATGAATTATAAAGGTATTCATAATGTACATTGTAATGCATTATATCTGTTAATAAATGACTGTAACAAAAGTTAAACCCATTATAATATGAACAGATTTCTTGTTGCATCTGAAATCGGTTGTTTTAATGCATTGTACTTTATAAAGGTTTCTGTAACCAATAACTGCAGTTACAATTATTCATGAGATCATACAATGCATTATAAGAAGCATAAACAATGCATTAAAATACTTTTACAATGCATTATAAGAAGCATAAACAATGCATTAACATACTTTTACAATGCATTATAAGAAGAGTAATGAATGCATTAAAATACCTTTACAATGCATTATAAGAAGCATAATTAATGCATTAAAATACCTTTACAATGCATTATAAGAAGCATAATTAATGCATTAAAATACCTTTATAATGCGTTATAAGAAGCATATTTAATGCATTAAAATACCTTTATAATGCATTATAAGAAGCATAATTAATGCATTAAAATACCTTTATTATGCATTATAAGAAGCATAATTAATGCATTAAAATACCTTTATAATGCATTACAAGAAGAGCAATTAATGCATTAAAATACCTTTATAAGGCATTATACATAAAGGCTTTGAGTAAAAGTCTCATCCAGTAAATCAGGGATGACTTGAACGCTGTTTTTGCTGAAGTTTCCCTGAAAGCCTTGGCCGTGGAGAGCTCTCTCCGTGATGTACCAGTGATGCACCAGTGATGCACCAGTGATGTACCAGTGATGCACCAGTGATGCACCAGTGATGTACCAGTGATGTACCAGTGATGCACCAGTGATTCACCAGTGATGTACCAGTGATGCACCAGTGATGTACCAGTGATGTACCAGTGATGCACCAGTGATGCACCAGTGATGTACCAGTGATGCACCAGTGATTCACCAGTGATGTACCAGTGATGCACCAGTGATGTACCAGTGATGTACCAGTGATGTACCAGTGATGCACCAGTGATGCACCAGTGATGTACCAGTGATGTACCAGTGATGCACCAGTGATGTACCAGTGATGCACCAGTGATGTACCAGTGATGCACCAGTGATGAACCAGTGATGTACCAGTGATGCACCAGTGATGTACCAGTGATGTACCAGTGATGCACCAGTGATGAACCAGTGATGCACCAGTGATGCACCAGTGATGTACCAGTGATGCACCAGTGATGTACCAGTGATGCACCAGTGATGTACCAGTGATGTACCAGTGATGTACCAGTGATGCACCAGTGATGCACCAGTGATGCACCAGTGATGCACCAGTGATGTACCAGTGATGTACCAGTGATGTACCAGTGATGTACCAGTGATGTACCAGTGATGCACCAGTGATGCACCAGTGATGTACCAGTGATGTACCAGTGATGTACCAGTGATGCACCAGTGATGCACCAGTGATGTACCAGTGATGCACCAGTGATGTACCAGTGATGTACCAGTGATGTACCAGTGATGCACCAGTGATGTACCAGTGATGTACCAGTGATGCACCAGTGATGTACCAGTGATGTACCAGTGATGCACCAGTGATGCACCAGTGATGTACCAGTGATGCACCAGTGATGCACCAGTGATGTACCAGTGATGCACCAGTGATGCACCAGTGATGTACCAGTGATGCACCAGTGATGCACCAGTGATGCACCAGTGATGTACCAGTGATGTACCAGTGATGCACCAGTGATGAACCAGTGATGTACCAGTGATGCACCAGTGATGTACCAGTGATGTACCAGTGATGTACCAGTGATGCACCAGTGATGAACCAGTGATGCACCAGTGATGCACCAGTGATGTACCAGTGATGTACCAGTGATGCACCAGTGATGTACCAGTGATGTACCAGTGATGCACCAGTGATGTACCAGTGATGTACCAGTGATGCACCAGTGATGCACCAGTGGTGCACCAGTGATGTACCAGTGATGCACCAGTGATGCACCAGTGATGCACCAGTGATGCACCAGTGATGCACCAGTGATGTACCAGTGATGTACCAGTGATGTACCAGTGATGCACCAGTGATGTACCAGTGATGTACCAGTGATGCACCAGTGATGTACCAGTGATGTACCAGTGATGCACCAGTGATGCACCAGTGATGTACCAGTGATGCACCAGTGATGTACCAGTGATGTACCAGTGATGCACCAGTGATGTACCAGTGATGCACCAGTGATGTACCAGTGACGCACCAGTGACGCACCAGTGATGCACCAGTGATGTACCAGTGATGTACCAGTGATGCACCAGTGATGCACCAGTGATGCACCAGTGATGTACCAGTGATGTACCAGTGATGTACCAGTGATGTACCAGTGATGCACCAGTGATGTACCAGTGATGCACCAGTGATGCACCAGTGATGCACCAGTGATGTACCAGTGACGCACCAGTGATGCACCAGTGATGCACCAGTGATGTACCAGTGATGCACCAGTGATGCACCAGTGATGTACCAGTGATGCACCAGTGATGTACCAGTGACGCACCAGTGACGCACCAGTGATGCACCAGTGATGTACCAGTGATGCACCAGTGATGCACCAGTGATGTACCAGTGATGTACCAGTGATGCACCAGTGATGTACCAGTGATGTACCAGTGATGCACCAGTGATGTACCAGTGATGCACCAGTGATGCACCAGTGATGTACCAGTGATGTACCAGTGATGTACCAGTGATGCACCAGTGATGCACCAGTGATGTACCAGTGATGTACCAGTGATGCACCAGTGATGTACCAGTGATGTACCAGTGATGCACCAGTGATGCACCAGTGATGCACCAGTGATGCACCAGTGATGTACCAGTGATGCACCAGTGATGTACCAGTGATGCACCAGTGATGCACCAGTGATTCACCAGTGATGTACCAGTGATGCACCAGTGATGTACCAGTGATGCACCAGTGATGTACCAGTGATGTACCAGTGATGTACCAGTGATGTACCAGTGATGCACCAGTGATGTACCAGTGATGTACCAGTGATGCACCAGTGATGTACCAGTGATGTACCAGTGATGCACCAGTGATGCACCAGTGATGCACCAGTGATGCACCAGTGATGTACCAGTGATGCACCAGTGATGTACCAGTGATGCACCAGTGATGCACCAGTGATGCACCAGTGATGTACCAGTGATGCACCAGTGATGTACCAGTGATGCACCAGTGATGCACCAGTGATGTACCTGGCTGGAGGATCCAGTGTGAAGAAGCTCCGGTACAGGGAGTTGATGAGGCTGAAGTTCTCCATGTCCCTGACGTACAGATGAACCAGAAGCACATGCTCCATCCGCCAGCCGCGCTCCTGCAGACGCCCTGCAAACACACACACAGAGGAACACACACTACAGCGCACTAACACATCCAACAATCCTGTTTAGAGAAAATAGGTCTTGCTTTTTTGCCATTAAAAAAGTCTTATAAAATGCATTGCACACTAGACTGTAAATCTTAATTTAAGAAAATTGGTGTTCTTCAGTCTTGCAGAGTGAATTTTAGCTCATTTTCAGGTAGATTTGACCAGAAACAAGTGACGGGTATAAAGTGCACGTTTTTGCGCATGTTCACTTAGAAAACAAACAAACAAACAAACACACACGCACGCACACACACACACACACACGCATCCATCAAACTAACTATCTATCTATCTATCTATCTATCTATCTATCTATCTATCTATCTATCTATCTATCTATCTATCTATCTAAATTCAAGAATCTTAATTAAGATGAATTTCTTTTACACTTTTTTTACAAAAAAATTCCTTCTTGAAACAAGCAAGATGCACTTAAATCTATGTAAAGTGTACTAAAATTATTAATTTAATAGTATGTTTTAAGAATTTTCATCTATTTTCAGGTTATTGTGTATCAAAATTAAAGAAGCTGAATTTAAGGTTAAATATTCTTGTTTTAATGCACTTAAATTACTTATTATTTAGTGCTTATAAAAAGTAAAAACTGGCCAGTTCTCAGCATGTTTACACAAAAATACACAACAGTATTTTTAGTGACTGGATTTAAGATCATATATTCTAGTTTTAATGCAATTTTCACTTTATTTATTATTCAATTCTTATAAAAAGTAAAAACTGCACAGTTTTAAGCATGTTTGTCTAGTTTTAAGATCCAATAGCATTTATTAGTGACTATTTTCAAGAACTGTCATCAGGTCAGGTTTGCTCTTTCCCCATTGGCCGATTGTTTTGCTGGATGTTAGTTCACTTTCCCCAGAGTTAAGTGCATCATGCTGGGTTTTTTTTGCAGCGTTCTTCATGTTTCATTAGTAGAGATTGCGGCTGAACTTCTAAGAAATCCTGCTTTCTCACCTCAGGCTCAGAGATGCACACACACACACATGAAAACACAGTGTTTTAAACCCCTGCCGCACGCACAATGGAAGAGCCCGAGACCCCATTAGACTCTCACACGCCGTCAAGTTTGTTTTTCCTTCGCAGGCGTTTGCGTTCCAGCACACTTCGCTCGCACAAGAAAGCCGCTCATTAAATATTAACTGGTTTAATATTGTCTCAGCGCTGTGAAGGCTGTTTGGCGAAGTAAGACGAAAAAGATTAAATATGCTTTTCATCTGGAGCCGCTCCGGCTAAAGATCTTTCTCTCTGCTGTTACGGGCCAGTCTTTTAAAAGTTCTGCGGGCGATAGAAGAGCTTCGTTTAATCTGAAGTGTGTTTCGTGACGGAGGGAGTCGCTGACACTCGTGTGAATGAAAGAGCGGTCGCAGAATAAAGAGCCCCTGTACCTCTTAAAAGTGCATTTTGCCGGCACAACAAGAGGGAAATGAAAGCGTGTGTGTGAACAAAGGCCTGTTCGCCGTCAGCGTTTGATGGGCCGAACTGCAGAAGCTCTTCATATTCTTCATCAGTTCCTCACGAGCGTCAGGGAGAACACAACCCCAACTCTACACACACACTGTTCTTACTCACTGTTTGTCTTGTTTCCAGCCCAAATATCGAAACATTCTTAAATCAAGATGCATTTACTAGATGAGTGAAATGCCATGAGAAATTATGTCTTGTTTTCTGGGGAAATAAATAAACATAAACAAGCCAAATGATCTGAAAAATAGTCCTGTTTCTGTTTGAGTTAAGATCATTTTTCTGACCCCAATGGAAGATAATTTAGCTTTTTTTAAGAAACAACTCACTTAATCTCACTTAACTTAACAAGACAGGCATTTTACCACTTTAGTAAATGCATCTTGATTAAAGAAATTGTAGATATTTGGACTGGAAACAAGACAAAAACAGCATTTTTGCAGCGTACAGGTGAAACTCGAAAGAATATTGTGTATTATATATAGAATATTGTGCAAAAGTTATAATTTTGATGATTATGGCTTACAGCTTATGAAAACCCCAAATTCAAAATCTCAGAAAATTAGAATATTACATGAAATCCATAATAAAAAAGGATTTTCAATACAGAAATTTCGGCCCTCAGAAAAGTATAATAATGCATATGTATATACGGTAACACTTTACTTGAAGGGGTGTGCATAAGACTGACATGACACCTTCATAATCATGACATGACACCTGTCATGACTATGAAGGAGGGTTTATGCATGTTTATGACAACTGTCATCAAGTGTCATTCGCTCAATTATGACATTTTTAATGCAAATATGACATTGTCTTTGTTATGACACCTTGACATTACCAAGACAACATAAATTGTCATAAATATGTCATAAGCATGACATAGCAGATTAATTATCAAATTTAAGAAACCACTTAGCTTTACGGGTTAACATTACATTAAACTGTCATGTGGTTGGTTTGCTATGTCATGTTTATGACATGTTTATGACAGATTATGATGGTCAAGGTGTCATAACAAAGACATCTCAAACAATGTCATATTTGCATTAAAAATGTCATAATTGAGCGAATGACACTTAATGACAGTTGTCATAAACATGCATGAACCCTCCTTCATATTCATGTGTCCTGTCATGATTATGAAGGTGTCATGTCAGTCTTATGCACACCCCTTCAAGTAAAGTGTTACCGCATATAGTTATATATACTAAATATATTAGTTTCACCTTTTAATTTGAATTACTGAAATACATGAACTGTTGCACGATACTCTAATGTTTCGACCTGTACATCAGAGACGCCGCCGAACGCACATGCGCTGTGGTGTTGCATTAAACATTAAACACAGAACCTGAGGACTCTTACTCTGCAGGAGTGTGAAGATGTGCCGGCTCTGGTTCTGGACGTGTGTGTGTTCGGACCGAAGCGCCGTCAAGCCACTGATCCACTGGAAACCCGCCGGACTCCTGGATGAGTGTGACGGCAGACAACCTTCAACAGAACATCATCATCTACATGTGCATTGCTCACGTCACCCGCTCATGCGCTCCCTGGGGAAGCTGGTGGCTTACATTGCAAACAAGCACTGATGATATCAACTCTATATTTATATCCTTAAACAACTAATAACACGTTTCTGAACTCTACATACAGTCCCTTTAAAGGAGGGGTTCACTTCAGAATTAAGATTTCCTGATGATTTACTCTCCCGCACGTCGTCCAAGATGTTCATGTCTTTCTTTCTTCAGTGGAAAAGAAATGAAGGTTTTTGAGGAACACACTCCAGGATTTTCTCCATATAGTGTCTTCAATGGGGTCCAACGGGTCGAAGGTCCAGATGTGAGTTTCAGTGCAGCTTCAAAGTCTCGACACGATCCAGCCGAGGAATAAGAGTCTGATCTAGACAAACCAGCCGACATTTATAACAAAATACACATTTATATACTTTTAACCACTAATGCTGGTCTTGCACTGGCTGTGATGCGACACACATTACGTAATCAGGGTGAAAGGTCAAGCGGGACGTAGGTGTAAGAACCGACCCACTGTTTACAAAGAAACTAAATCAAACACCATTTACAAATAAATAAATAAATAAAAGGTAAAACAACGATGTCGGACGATTTTGAAGTTAGAGGAGAAAATGAGATGGAGTTTTTCACTCTACATTTCTGAACCTGAACACGCGTGACCTTTAACCCTGATTACGTAATGTGTGTCACATCACAGCTCGTGCAAGACCAGCATTAGTGGTTAAAAGTATATAAATGTGTATTTTGTTATAAATGTGCGCTGGTTTGTCTAGATCAGACTCTTATTCCTCGGCTGGATCGTGTCGAGACTTTGAAGCTGCACTGAAACTCACATCTGGACCTTCGACCCGTTGGACCCCATTGAAGTCACTATATGGAGAAACCCTGGAGTGTGTTCCTCAAAAACCTTCATTTCTTTTCCACTGAAGAAAGAAAGACATGAACATCTTGGACGACGTGCGGGAGAGTAAATTATCAGGAAAATTTAATTTTGAAATTAACTACTCCTTTAAAATGATTTAAAATATGATAAAACAAGCATTAAAATAATCCAAAACAACTAAAAATCAAGATAATTCTTATTTTAATTCACTCCATCAACAACTGGATACACATGGACTTGAAAAATGCATTGATGTTACTGATGCATTAAGGTAATTTATCTCTATAAATTTTTATGTTTCTCTAAAATGTGTCTTTGGTTTTCGGTACATTTTTACATTAAAGGTGAAAAAAGTTTCAACAGGAGTGTGTAGACTTCTATATTCACTGTAAGAGGAAGCTCTTTTCCGGCATAGAGAATATCATGAAGCTGAACGATTAACTTTACACAAAAATATACTGTATAATTTATAAACACCATGGAATTAATAATGGCAAAACACACGGTTCATCCCCCAAAAACACTGTGTTCACCAGGGCTTGGAGCTGTGACGAGGGCGGCCGGGAGCTGCTTCTCTAGATGTGCTTTTGTTTTGTTATTGTAATAATGCAAAATGATCTTCTGACCGGCTCTCCAACCATAAACATAAACATGGCATTATCATAGCGTCTCGTCAAGAAGACCAGAGTACAGCCGTGCTACTTTTGTTTTAGTGTTGATGAACCAATACAGTTTTGAAAGGATTTCAATGAAGTAACAGTTATACTGCAGGCAGGCAATATGATGTGCTTTATACCAGAACACACACACACACACACACACAGCTCACCCTGCTCCGGCTGACAACTGCGCTCAGCGTTTGATGGACACGCTCGCTGGACGTCTGGAGATTTATCAGCATATTCCAGCTCTTCTGTCATCTTGTCAATGGTGTTCTGGCAAGGACATCTACTGAGAGGCAGTGCTCCCGAGCCCTGTAGGAGACGACACACACACACACACACACACACACACCCCGGAAAACACACGCTTGATCAGTCAACCTGCAGGCTGATATGCTGGAATATATATGAATATGATCCTCATCTCAGTGTGGAACCCCATGACCAACACATGCTTTTAAATCAGAATTATGAGATAAAAAGTCACAATTATGATAAAAAGTCACAAGTATGAGTTTACTACGAGATGTCAAGTAATTATGATCAGGGTTTGAAATGAACTTTCACCCACCAACCAATTTGGCTACTAAATTAAAACTAAGTTACCGGCCATTCAGAACTTCTACTCATACTTCTTATTATAGAGTATAGAAATATATATACATATATCAAATTAGTATTTTACACATTAATTTCTAATTCAAAAATACGTGTCAACATTGAAACTAATAATTGTATGAAATTATCAAAATTAAAAAAACGTTAATCAATTATGAGATAAAAAGTCAAAATGATGAAATAAGTGTCAAAATTCCCATACTAACAATTATGAGATAAAGTAAAAATAATAATTAAGTCATTAATATAAGATAAAAACTAAATTATGAAATGTCAATTATGAGATAAAAAAGTTAAAACTATGAGATATTCAGTCAATTATGAAAAGAGTGTCAAAATTGACATACTAATAATTATTTTTAGTGTCAAAATTAAGAAACACTAATAATGATCAGAAAAAGTCAAAATTATACGATGCTAAGACAATTTTGAAATAAAAAAATCTAAATTCTGAGATGGCATTATGAGATAAAGTGACAGATAAAACTATGACAGTGTCTTGTGAATTTTTTATCTCATAATTGTGTTTTTTAAGTCATACTTATAAAATAAGTTTCAAAATTAGGACATACTTAGTCATAATTATGAGATAAAAACAGCAAAATTATAAGATACTAAGCCCTGATTATGAAATAAGTGTCAGAAAAGTAAAAATCCTGAGATACCAAGTCAAACTTTTGTCATAATACTCGACTTTCTCTCATAATGACTTTTTTTTTTTTTCTCGCGTTTAAAAGAAAATGGGCGTCCACACGTCTGCGTATTCCCGGAGCGGGTTCAGTCCGATGTTCCCAGGTGTCATCCGGGTCACACCCGGGGGTTTGGCCAAGAAGACCCCCTCACACACACACACACACACACCACCTGATTACAGCAGGCCGGACACGGCACATTTTTAATAAATATTTCAGATCTCTTTAATGTCCCGCTGTCATCTGCAGTTGACCATACGATGATTAGATTAATTACCCTGCAGTGTGTGTGTGTGTGTGTGTGTGCGCCCCCCCCCCCCCCCCCCCAGCCGTGTCAGCGTGGATCTGTCAGCGTGACGGAGAGTGCTCTCGACGGAGCTTCTCTCGCAGGGTTTCCCTGCGCTGCGGGCGCCGTGTGTTTTTACCCCCTCAAACCCCCGATCCTCCACCGACACACAGCAGAACACACACATAAACAAACACGCGGCCGCAGAGAGCCAGGAGCTGAGACTGAGGACACGGCGTGACCCAAAACACACCAACTCCTCCACAAGAACAGAACATTATCATAACATGCATATTATAAAGCACTCGCTGATTTCTGATTGCTTTCATAAAACTATCACATGATGACACACTTCGAATGTAACGCACAATGGGGTGGGGTGTGTCTGGTAAGGGGTTAAAGGTCACGGTGACCTCGATCGAGGCCGCATTATAACATGAGAGCAGTATGTGGACACACACACGGGCATGAGCAGCACACACTCCTTAAGGACATCATCACAACAACAACAGTGTGAGGAAACGCTCAACACAAAGTCACATGAATAACCTTCCCAGCGTACCTGAGCACGCAGAGGGTGATGTGACTGGACGTGTGTGTGAACATTGCAGACGTCACCGGCTCTACATACGGGACACAGAGAATCGGGATGTAAACCACTAGCATGCAGTAACCGTGCGGATGGAGACATGATGAGGCGAACAGTGCACTTCTGCACATCACTGTTTCTAAACACGGGTTTGAGAGTTGAAATGACTCAAATAACGATACATCTGATTAAATCGAACGCTGCGATTTATTTAAAGTCCCCTGTGGTGTAAATCCAGCTTTTAATGTTGTTTATGTGTGTATGTGGTGTTTTTAATGTGCTTTAAGACACACCATGTGTAAGTTCATAAGTCGACAGCATTGCTGAGTATTTTCTGCTTAAAACTACAGTGAACCAAAGACAGTCTCAAAAACACGGTTTGAAATCGCTGGTGTTTCTGACGTCACAAACGACCTTGTAACCAATCAGATCAACGTGTGATCGTCAACCAGTGGATCTCTGAGCTGAGGGAGTGAGTGGAGGCGGGGCTCATCTGCATATTAATAGAACTGCGAATACTAAATGAGGCGAAGGTGTCGAGTTACATTCAAGATATTTTAAGGCATGAAGAAGTTTTTTTTTCAAGGAAAAAACGTTTCTGTCATTTTGGTCATTAAAGATGAGTTTTAAAGGGGGGGTATAATGCTCTTTTCCCAAGATGTAAAATAAGTCTCTGATGTCCCCAGAGTGTGTGTGTGAAGTTTTAGCTCAAAATACCCCACAGATATTTTGTTAAAGTTGTCAGGGTGAACAAAAACGCACCATTTTTTTTTTGTGTGTGTGTGTCCCTTTAAATGCAAATGAGCAGCTGCTCCCGGCACAGGGGGCGGAGCTACAAGAGCTCGTGTCCTTTGACCTCAAACAAACACACACACACTGAAAATTTCAAAAACTTTTAGCCTTTTATGTTCAAACCGGAGTCAGAAAGATGGAGAGACTCAAGAAGAAGTGACAACATGTAGAATGGCTAGTTGATGAATTTATGTAGCTGATGTGTAGTTATCTTCTAGTCATTTATTAGCATATTCTGTCATGATAATCTATAAATCGAGTTACCAGCCGTTTGTTGTAGTCCTTAAAAAATGATTTCTTTAAAAGCAAATATCTCCCTTTGCTTTGAACTGCGAGCATTGAAACTTTGCAGATGTTGTTTATGCTCAAACAGCAACATTACACACTAACTAAAGCTAGAAAAGTGAAATCATGATCAACCGCCCCTTTAAGGGATAAAAAGATTGAACAGGGGGACTGTATAGTGTATAGTCTGATGCGCTGCGTTTCAGGATGAAGAACGGCTGTGTCTTCATTTACACATGAGCAGATTAGAGAGTGCTTTTGGAAAAAAAACAAGAAATTATATTATATAATAATAATAATTATTATATTTGAATGCTTCTGGAAATTGTGTTTCCTGGATACATTGCATTCCTCCAAAAAACGCTTGGCACTGAAATAGATGTTGCCTCCAATCTCATACTGTGCGTTCACACCGCCGGCGAGCTCCGGCGAGGGCGGCGCGTCTTGGACGGTGAGAGCGGCGAGGAGAGTTGAAGTCAGGTCAACTTTATGGTAATGAGCTATGGCACGGCAACCAATCGTAAAGTAGAAGTGCTCCGTTTGAGAGAATTCCAGAGAACGCAGTCCTGTACACTTTGGTTCCGACCACATTAGTTCCCAAGCAAAACAGAGGAGGTTGATCATTTGAATTTGATAAGAAGGCGCGCAACACTATTTATAGGCAAGATTTTCGTGCTAAACCACTTTTTCAGCGGGAATGCAAATTATAATAGCACTTAACCATGAACACAAAAGCCACACCACACAAATGGCTTTCAATTGGTTTATTTCATTAGCAAACATGTCACTATAATTGTTAAGTTCTTTCCATCGATCAATTTTCTGCAAAAATAACGATCGACATGCTTGTTTGCTTTGCGGCCCCTTTAAATACAGTTTTAAAAAAGACCACGCATTCGATCTACGTCAGAGCATCAGAGCGTCCACGAATCTTTCCACGGCGTCGCTGGCAGGGCGGCGAGAGGGGCGGCGGAGTATGCGATGATTTTAGTATCAAAATGATTAACACGTGCAAGCACACTTATCAATGAACTTGATACATGTTGCAGAAATGTTTTATCCATGCCTTTCAACTTGTGTGTGCAAAATTCAAAATTGAATGAATGTGAAGCAATTTGTACAAATCGAGACATTTTTGTGAATACAAATGTTTTCCTTTGTATTAGTGTATCATAATTTGCACATGCAACACAGAAGACGTGCATGTGTGGATCAGGTGACACGTGTGCATTCATTGACTCGATTCATTGAGTCGATCCTATTTGATTCATTTGGATTTTGAGACTTTCATTTCGCGGTTTTCGCCTCGCACGATCCACACACAGCTGTCTGAGAAAAGCTGCTACCACTAGATGGCAGTATTCTGCTAAAACAGACAACGGCCGCATAATCAAGCGTTCTTCCGCATTTAAGACGCTTAATGAGAGTGATATTGAAGCACCAAATTTAGTACACAATAATATAGGCCTACCCTATTAATAAAGCATACTTTATAGAGGCAAACATTACGTCAGATTATGAACAACACCCATAGAAAACCATTATAAAACGCTTAACGTGCAATCGCGCGTTGCATGCTCAGTAAGGTGTATTGGCTACTGAGTTTAAATATCACCGTCTTACTGCATTGACGTTAAGCTTTTTCTTTATAATATGCTCTATGGGAGGAAAACTATATAGCCTACAGACAAGAGACTACATGAACGCAACGCACGGCGTTTCAAGTTAATACAATTTTCCTTCCTGTTAAAAAAAAGGTGAAATTTCGCAGTTGTGTTCATATTATATGCTTATTTTTATCTGACTACACATTGTGTACATAGTATACAAGCAGGAATTTGAAAATGTCTGTTTTTAAATATTAAAGACGATTTTCGCAGTACATTTGTTTTCCCTTGACCCTTAAGCCATAGGCTATATAGTCTTACTATAGCACGATGAGTTTTAACAATATGCAACCATTGTATATCGACATGAAATATTAATTGAAAATCAACTGGCGTAGCGGGCCTGTAGCTGCATATTTCTACACGAGAATGCTTTGACGCGCTAACCACAGCTCATGATGCACAAGGGAACGTCTGCCAATTCCACTAACTGCGTTAAAACCACTGATCTATAATGTCATTCTATATAGATCAGTGGTTAAAACGTATAATGTTTTAATTCAAATTACTTTTTAAATTTAATAACAGACATTTTCAAATTCCAAAGCTCGTAGAAGGTTTCTGTAAGACTGACTTACAAGTAAAATTTGGACAATACTTCCCTTCATGTAGCCTGTATTCTGCAGAAAAATACTGTAATTCACCAAAAGGGTTTTTTCATGTTCAAAATGGTTGTAGTATGTTCAGTGACTAGACTGGCTTACTACAGGTGAAATTGCCCCAATAACTCCCTTCAGGTAGCCTATTTAGTAAACAATTATTATTTTATAAAAAAATTACTGTAATTAACCAAACGGGTTTTTGGTGACTTACTACAAGTGAATAATGTAAAATTTCACCTGACTTGTCACTAGGAACGTACTACAACCTTTGGAACATGAATAGAAAAACAATTTACAGTAAATTAAACAATTGTAGGCTACTGTTCAATCGAGATATTGGCTGGACATAGTACAGTAACAGTAGGCTAAGTCAGTCTGCCCACTAGACTTCCAAGGTTATAATATAACCTTGGAAATATGTTCATTTGAATGAATGACTGGACGTTTATATTTTTTTGACTGTGAGTGGAGTTTGCAGATGGTCCCTTTATAAAATGAGGCGAATATCAAACCTAAAACTTACTTCACTGCACTCTCGGACCGGTTGCTCTCCCATTCACATGCAAAGTTAAACGCAACTGCAGAATTTTTATTTCATGTTCAGCTTTTTCTTTTTAACAGGCTCGGGAAGGAAAATGTTATTAACTTGAAACGCCGTGCGTTGCGTTCATGTTGTCTCTTGTCTGTAGGCTATATAGTTTTCCTCCCATAGAGCATATTATAAAGAAAAAGCTTAACGTCAATGCAGTAAGACGGTGATATTTAAACTCAGTAGCCAATACACCTTACTGAGCATGCAACGCGCGATTGCACGTTAAGCGTTTTATAATGGTTTTCTATGGGTGTTGTTCATAATCTGACGTAATGTTTGCCTCTATAAAGTATGCTTTATTAATAGGGTAGGCCTATATTATTGTGTACTAAATTTGGTGCTTCAATATCACTCTCATTAAGCGTCTTAAATGCGGAAGAACGCTTGATTATGCTGCCGTTGTCTGTTTTAGCAGAATACTGCCATCTAGTGGTAGCAGCTTTTCTCAGACAGCTGTGTGTGGATCGTGCAAGGCGAAACCCGCGAAATGAAAGTCTCAAAATCCAAATGAATCAAATAGGATCGACTCAATGAATCGAGTCAATGAATGCACGCGCGTCACCTGATCCACACATGCACGTCTTCTGTGTTGCATGTGCAAATTATGATACACTAATACAAAGGAAAACATTTGTATTCACAAAAATGTCTCTATTTGTACAAATTGCTTCACATTCATTCAATTTTGAATTTTGCACACACAAGTTGAAAGGCATGGATAAAACATTTCTGCAACATGTATCAAGTTCATTGATAAGTGTGCTTGCACGTGTTAATCATTTTGATACTAAAATCATCCCATAGCGGAGTGACCGTACGGAGAATGTTCCATCACAAACGTTTCTCAGGGGAACGGAAAGCTTAGCGAGAACACAAAAGCAGCGAAAGATCATTTCCTCCCATTTCATACATATATACAGTATAATAAAAATAATAATAAAACCAATACAAATTAAACACAAAAAAAAAATTCCTTCAGAAAAAGTATTTTGTCCGTTTACTTCCATGTCATGTGACCATTAGCCAACATCAGAGAACCGCGAGAATATGAACCTATACTAATATAAGTATTACTAATATATATTACTAATATTTTACTGGACGTCCAGGAGGTCCAACTGACAAAAGTTGTGGAAGGGTTCGATTCCCAGAGAAATCATAGAAATGCATACATTTAAATGGACTAAAAACATTTGCGTGCACAAAATAAATCTTTAATTTGTTGTAAATGATCCATTTTGTGAATAACACCGATGAGACAAAACTCAAGCTCACAGAATCTCAAATAAAAGTTTTACTTTGTGTGTGACTGTAACATTGAGAGTGTTTCCTGAAACTGCAGCAAAGAGCCCGTCGCCGTCCTGACGTCACTCACGGTCACATGATCACTCTCGGTCACATGATCACTCTCGGTCACATGATCACTCTCGGTCACATGATCACTCACGGTCACATGATCACTCTCGGTCACATGATCACTCTCGGTCACATGATCACTCGCGGTCACTCTCGGTCACATGATCACTTGCGGTCACATAACTGGCTTCATAAGTGGACTTTAGAGCGGGACTGGCCTAAGCTGGGTCGTACTTCTGCTTTGTCCTCGGTGTGCATGCGTGTGAAGCGCAGGTATCCCACAGGAGCGAAGGCATCGGCCGAGTGGATCACGGTCTCCGCAGAGTCACTGAAACACAAGACACACAGTCTCACACACACACACACACACACGCATGTTGGCGTTGTGTTTGAGACTTACATGACGATCTTCTTCTTGAAGAGCGGACAGTCGACGGTGAAGGTCTCGTACTCGCCTCCTTCCCCACAGATATGAACTCCATACTTCTCTGAAAGCTGAATCACACCATCACTGTATTCATATTACAGTAACATTACAGTTATTAGTAATTACATGATATAGCTATTTTTTGCTGGCTATTAATAGCAAATGTTTATTTACACTACTGGTTAAAAGGTTTTTTTACTGTATATTTTGAAAGTCTCTTCTGCTCTGCATTAATTTGATAAAAAATACAGTAAAAACAGTGTAATATTATTCCAGTGTAAATCATCTGTTTTCTATGTGAATATACAGTAAAGTGTCATTTATTCCTGTGATCAAAGCTGAATTTATCATCATTACTCCAGTCTTCAGTGTCACATGATCCTTCAGAAATCACTCTAATATGAGGATCTGAAACATTTCTCATTATTATCAATGTTGAAAACTGATTAAAATAGTTTTTTTCTGCTTAATATTTTTCCAAGTAAGATTTAAAAAAGAAAAGAGAAATTAATATGTTTATTGATGAAGGATGCATTAAATTGATCAAAAGTGACAGTAAAAGACATTAATAATGTTACAAAAGATTATATTTTCAAATAAATGCTGTTCTTTTGAACTTTCTATTCATCAGAGAATCAAGAAAAATAAAAAGTATGACGGTTTCCACAAAAATATGAACTGTTTTCAACACTGATAATAATCATAAATGTTTCTTGAGCATCAGATCCTCATATTAGAGTGATTTCTGAAGAATCATGTGACACTGAAGCCTGGAGCAATGATGATAAATTCAGCTTTGATCACAGGATATAAATTACACTTTACTATATATTCACATAGAAAACAGATGATTTTAATTCTAATAATATTTTGCAAAATCAGTTTTTTTCCTGTATTTATTTTTTTGATCGGCACTGTAATCTACCATGATTTCATGTGGATTTGCAGTGAATAAATTATTTTACAAACGAAAGGTGCTCCATCTCACCGGATTACAGGTGAAACTCGCCTTTATTTGTTATAATGTTGATGATTATGGCTTACAGCTTATGAAAACCCCAAATTCAAAATTAGAATATTGTGAAAAGGTTTTCATATCTCTAAGCCATAATCATCACAATTATAACAAATAAAGGCTTGAAATATCTCACTTTGCATGTAATGAGTCTATATAATATATTAGTTTCACCTTTTAAGTTGAATTACTGAAATAAATGAACTTTTGAACGATATTCTAATTTTTCGAGTTTCACCTGTGTGTGTGATTTTGGACTAAACCTTAAAGAACATTATGATGGTGATTTGCAAGAAACGACTGAATCAATGTGTCATCAGTCAAAACATCCTGACAGTGAAACACTTGATCTGAATCAATCAAAACTAACTTTATCTGGACAATAACTTTATTCTAGAGCTGCTGTAAGCCTAAACAATCTCTGTTACTGTAATCTCCTGTTATCACTGTAAAGCTGCTGTGAACATCTGTATTGTTAAAGCGCTGTATAAATGAAGGAGACTCGACTTGAAGTGAAAGCTGGAGCAGAAACAGCTGAAGGAGGTTCATTATTATTATTATCATTATTAATATTATTTTCCTCTGACCTCGTGCAGATACGGTTCCATCTCCGCCAGGGATTTTCCTAAATGTCTCTCTGGATCCAGACCTGCCACACACACACACACACACACACACACACAACACAAGAGTGTAAGTGTTAACACACTAACAACACGTCCGCTGCTCTGTTTGACTGTGCAAATGTGTGTACACACAGCTCTGCTTCAGCCGCTCGCCTCCTCTGAGAGCTGCGGGTCAACACACGTACATCAGTCTGGAAATATTTCAGCATGTCAATACGAATGCATCACGAATGTGATAAACTAGAGATGTCAATCACGGGAGTTCACGAGACCATCATGCACTGCCAGCTGGTTGTGATCGGCCTCTCTCTGTAAGCAAGCCTTTCCATAAACACACACACAAGTTATTCATATATCATGATCTAGCACAGCTCACACAACACGGCCGCTGCGGGAATCACATCATGTGAGCATCAACAACGCCCAGACATAATAAACAAACATAATCAAACACAGAGCATCCGCAATGATCTTCACAACTAAATACGTGCAGGCTTATTTTAAATGTCTAGTAGCAAAATTTGGAAAATTACTAAATAGAGTTTAAAAACCCTGATTTGTAAGGCAAAAAACAAATGTTTGAAGTTACTTATAAATGTATATTATTTCCCACAAATTAAATAAAAACACAGTCCACTCATGTAAAGCAATACATACTATATAGTAAATCTAAGCTGTGTGATTGTTTATATTAATATTAATAAAGTCCCCCTGTAGTTAATAATTGTATCCCTTAAAACTCATCTTTGATCACAAATCAATGTCACTCGACACCCTCGCCTCATTTAGTATGTGCGGTTCTATGAATATGCAAATGAGCCCCGCCTCCACTCACTCACTCAGCTCAGAGATCCACTGGTTGACGATCACACGTTGATCTGATTGGTTACAAGGTCGTTTGTGACGTCAGAAACACCAGCGATTTCAAACCGTGTTTTTGAGACTGTCTTTGGTTCACTGCAGTTTTAAGGAGGAAATACTCAGCAATGCTGTCGACTTATGAACTTACACATGGTGTGTCTTAAAGCGTATTAAAAACACCACATACACACATACACAACTTTAAAAACTTGATTTCCACCACAGGGGGACTTTATTTAACTTAATGAACAGCTCTACTCTGCTAAATGTAAAGCTGCTTTGAGAAAATTGTATATTGTGAAAAACGCTATACAAATAAATGTGACTTTGGTTGTTTGACTATTTTAAAATAGCCGTAACACTTTACAATAAGGTTCATTAGTTAACATTAAGATAATGTATTAACTAACATAAACTAACCATGATCAATACATTTATTACAGTCATAGGCGTAATTCTATGGGGGGACAGGGGGACACGTCCCCCCCAATATTCAACGAAGGGCAATTTGTCCCCCCCAATATTTAATCATATTTGGGGCGCGTTTCCATTACAGATTTGCGCAAAACTTTTGCGATATTTTCTAAATGTCGATAAAAAACTATTGCGAAATGACGGCGTTCCATTAACCGATGTTATGCGACTAAAACGTCTTTTTTTCCTCTCGCGATAAGTCATTCCAAAAATCGTGGCAACGGACGTTGGTAGGTTTATAGCCTATATCACAGCCACCGCATAGACATTATTATTATTAATGGAAGGAGACGTGGCGTGTTATCCAAGCGTTAATGGCAGGGAAAGACACGGAGTTCCTGGGTGTTTCTCCCTCATTTCTGCTCCGATGTCTTGATTGTGGCATTTCTTTGAGGTTTAGACACTGATCAATAGAATGACTTTATTAATGTCATTATATAGATCAGTGGGTTTAGAGTCCAGTAGACTATTCCTGTAATTATTGTTTATTTTATGAATTCAATAAAGAACTCTGTCTCGTATTATGTCCAAACGGTCAGTGTACTTGCATTCATTTTTCTTATTTAACCCGTAATTGCAAAACGAAAAATGAACGGTTGTTGTATTTTTAAAACGCAAAGGTGAACACCAACATTTTAGTTTGACCTGTAGGCCTACACCAAATTCTGCAAAAAAAAAAAAAAAAAAAAAATATATATATATATATAATATATATATAGGCCTATATATATATATGAGAGAGAGAGAGAGAGAGAGAGAGAGAGAGAGAGAGAGAGAGAGAGAGAGAGAGAGAGAGAGAGAGAGAGACGAATTTTCAGATATTTGTTTATGACTTTTTGCCCCTTTATTAAACATTTAAAATATTCACAAATTAATATGGAAAAAAAAAATGTAGCTTTTACTGGTTTTCTAAGGCCAAATTAGAACCTGGAAATTATATTTTTCCCGCAGTGCTGAATGAGAAGAGCCATAACCACAGCCTACAGAAAGGGGATGTATGGGTGAGTTAGGCTATAATAAATGTGTCTGAAAAAATAACGAGGCATTTTAATTGTTTATTAATAAACTATTGTTTTCCTAAATCAGTGTCGGCTAAAAACATATCTCCATCTCCGGATGCACCTTTAGAGAGAAATGCACCTTCATACGGATTACATAATCAGAAGGTATTAGCTTTCGATTCGAATTTGTTCCTTTTAAAGTGGACATTTAATTAAAGCTTCAGTCTACAAAGGCTAGCCTATCAGTTCTCGCGCTTCAGTTCACGGAGATCATGAAAGCGCGCCTGATTGTTTTATTTTATTTTACAAAAGCACATCGTTTTCTTGTTATTGTGAGATTACGCAAATAAAAGTAGTTGCGAATAATGTATTATTATATTCTGTATGACCAGAAATGACAGAGTATTTTAAGTTGTTTCGACTGTTGATAGGAAAATGCAAGTGTTCGCGCCCACGCCTCTGTGCCACCCAGTGCGCGCTCCACACCCAGTCCGCACACACACTTGGATATGCGTCAAAATCTTGTGTTTATTTGTGATAATCTTAGCCCTATTATTATTGTCCAACCTGTATTATGAATGAAATGTGACGAATTGCTTTGTTCCTTTTTTGGATAAAAGCGTCTTCTACATATAATAAATGTTATAATAATGATGATAATTATTATTATTATTTGCGGACACGGACCCAAAACACACCGCGTAAGTCAGGTGACTGTAAATGCGCAAAACCCGTTTCCATTGCAGTTTTGCGAAATATTCCTTTTTCAAATTGCCTGAAAAACCTCCTCATGCGAGCGTAAAAACTTTATTGGGATAAACGGGAGTTTTTGCGAAATGGACGTGTTTCCATTGTGCGCATTTTCATTAGGCTATGCAATTTCCATTTGCGCAATTTGAAGGGTAGCCTAATGGAAACGCGGCTTGAATGATTATGCGGGCAGGGCCAGATGTGATTGCAAATAGCCTACGTCTTTCTTCCCAGCTCCGAAAATATAAAATCCCGGCCGGTCCATTTCCCAAATCCATTCGACTTGCCTTACACCAGCGGTCCCCAACCTTTTTTGCGCCACGGACCGGTTTAATGTCAGACAATATTTTCACGGACCGGCCTTTAAGGTGCTCCTAAAAACGCGTAGAAAACGCTAGGCGCGAGGTTGCACTCCGGCCTCCGTTGCTAAACAACCATCCGCTGCGCTCTCCGTTACAGCAAGGAAATTTCAGCAATGGATTTCCACCACCGAAAAACCCTTGCTGTAACTCTGTTACAAGATTTATTTACTAAGAAGAGTGAAAAAAAAAACGCTGCAGTGTTTGGGTGCAAGACCGTGCAACCGATACTACAAAAACGCAAAAACCATGGGGAATTTCACCAGCGGATTCAGGAGCTCCGCCTGGACAATGGGAGGTTCAAAGCCTATTTCAGAGTGGACAAGGACCAGTTTGATTATATTTTAAGAAAAGTTGGCCCAAGCATCAGTAAACGGAGCTTCTGCCGTGAAACTAACTTATCTCTCCTGCGCAACGGCTCTGTATTTGTCTGAGGTTAGACTATAACTGAAGTGGTCATAAAACACCAGAAATAGCAAACACATACACATTTATATATAGAACAATTCTGTATAAACAATGATGGATTTAACAAGGAATCAGTTGTGAGCATTAATATTTTTAGTAAAAATATTTTTTACTAGTAACTAGTGCAGCAGTTTACAGTGTGGAAGATGAGTGGTTGGTTCTTGTCACGTGACCTACAGTGCGCTTGCGGCATTCTGAAAAGTTGAGATGTTTTTATCTCGATGCGGCGCGGACGCGCTTGGAAAAAACGGGCGCGTCGCTTCAATTATGAGCGCGCATACCGCGCGCCTACATTTGAAATAACAAACTTGAGCGCGCAAAAGACACAATATGTGAACAGGTAAATGTGTGAATAAATAAAACGGAAATAAGTTATTTATTCTTTCTGTGCGGCCCGGTACCAAATGACCCTCGGACCGGTACCGGTCCGCGGCCCGGGGGTTGGGGACCCCTGCCTTACACTATACATTTAGCAAAACCTATTTCTCCTGAAATCCATGTCATGTTTTCCTATCCCTAGTAGCTCGTGCATCGTCAGTAAGTTAGGAAAAACCAAACAGAAGAAGAGTTAGGAGGAGTGCGGAAATTGACAGACATTTGGCACATAGGCTATCTATGAATGGTAAATATCCTGTTATCCTGTAACAGTAATTTAATCAAAATGTTTATAGCCACTATATGTTTATAGAAGAATATAAGAGAGAGAGAGATCACTGACCGCTTTCTTGTCAATTCAGGCCTGTAATTGATGCCGATGCTGTAATCATTGTGAGTAGGCTATACGTTGGTTTGACGATCAGATGTAATAAAATTCCTTGTTGTGTTAGCCTATACAATTACAAACATTCGGACTCTGACTTTTATTTTATTTTGATTAAAAAAATGTGTGCATGCGCCAACACAAAAAGTTCCACAGCTGTCCCCCCCCAATGTGTGATTGACAATTTCGCCCTTGATTACAGTATTGATTAATCTTTGTTAATGTTAATTAATAAGAATACAACTGTTCATTGTGTGTTCATGTTAGTTCACAGTGCATTAATATTAACAAATTCAACCCTTGATTTTAATAACGTATTACTAAATGTTGAAATTAATATTAACTAAGAT